GGATTAATTAGCAGCCTTCTAACAAAAAGGTGAGTTCTGAGGAAGACTTAAGAGCAGCAGACCCTGCAATTGAGGAAGCAAGAGTGAAGGGAAACACAATGTTGTTGTTTTAAGCAAGACTAACAACCCAAGTCAGCAAGATCAAACTGGGAGAAAAGTCATCAAAGCCCAGCAAACGGGTTAAGAATCACTTTGATGAGTACCAGGAGCTGCTATATATCTTACATGGGGAGGTGGCAAGGACTGCTTCCTTCCTGTGCTTCATGAGTCCAGTGCCACGTTCAGAAAATCTATTTTTTAAAGTTGCTAATCTTAACAAAAATGTTATAGGATCTTTAAAGATTCAGTTTTTATTAAAACATGTAGTTCAGTAGCATGAGAACTTGCCTAGCATCACCTTGGCTCTATGTTGGAATAAAAAAAAAAAGGAATAGTTTGGGTCACACAATGCTTTCACCAAACAACTGTGTATGGGAGTATGCGCAGAAAATAACCCTTTATCCTCTGTGTACAGTTTATATTCTTCTCAAAAATAAATTCCTTATATGAATAGTGAACACAATGGACAATGGAGAGGGAGAACACCTTCAGAAATAATGCTCATGAATACTAAATGCCATTGCACATTGTAAGAAGTTATTGAACTTTAAAGCAAGATGGGGGTCAGTGGTAATCCCTTCACTTCTCAACAGGTTAAACTGAAGCTCAAGAACTAAGTAAGTTGCCTTGATGTCATAACTAAACCTGTGGAAGACTGAATGCCAGACCTCAGATTTTCTAGGAAGCAAGATCTAAAAACTGTGCTACTCAAGACTGCATAACTATCAACCACATTTGGCTACAAACATATACATATACATACATACATATATATATATATACACACACACATATATACATATATATATATGTATATTCTTGTTTTGTTTTATTTTGTTTTTTTTCCTCGAGACAGGGTTTCTCTGTATAGTTTTGGTGCCTGTCCTGGAACTTACTCTGTAGACCAGGCTGGCCTCGAACTCACAGAGATCCACCTGGCTCTGCCTCCCGAGTGCTAGAATTAAAGGCGTGCGGCACCGCCGCCACCACCGCCGCCACCACCACCCGGCTTGGCTAGAAATTTAAAATGATTAAAACTAAATGCAACTTCAAACTCAATTTCTCACATGTACCAGAGTCATGTGTCCAAGTGTTCTATAACTTATACATAGTTAATGGCTACCATATCTAACAGGGTAGGAAAAAAAAAGTAGTTCCCTCATATTTGTCAATTATACTTCAATAAATCTGGGAAAGAAGGGAAAGTATTTCCATCACTACAGAAAATGTAATTGGACTGCACTGCTTTAAAGAATAAGCTTTAGAGTCAGGTATGGTTTGAATTCCACTTGGAGGGGAGCAGATGACACAAGATTGACATAACATACACCTCACAAAGTATACTTGATGATTATGTACACTGCCTGGAACTTAACAGATAATAAATATTAACATTCTTCCCCCCAGGATCCTTTTCTTTCTACTAGTCTACAGAACATCCTGTTAGAAGATACAATAAGTGAGCCTTCCAAATTAATGCCTTCCTCTGAAGACAGCCCATTCTGTTCTTACCAATTTCTTCAAATACTCGTAACCTCTCTTCCAATGTTTCTATTTGGGAATCATGAAATAAAATATGACTGTGAACGTAACAAATGTCCCTTGTATTTTATATGACTATACTGAGTTGTCATTCAAAGGATATAAAATAAACCATACAGTTTCTAGACAACTGTTCCATGTTGGGAAAGAATATTCTACACTACTTCTCACTATCTGTAGTGATTGAACATTATATGAAAACATAATAATATGTTCCTCTACATTACTTTACTGCTCTCCCCATCCCCCAAAAACCCAACTTCCAGAAACTAAATCAATCTTTAAGGCTTCATAGTACTTCTACAAAGCCAGTAAATTTAACATCTCTGAACTGTATCATTTTAAAACTCTGTAGCATGTAATAATCCAGAAAAACAACAAAACAACTCAGTTCAGTTGTAAACCAGTACATAAGCAAATTTCATTTATGAGCAACAATTTATATTTAGCTCCATTAAGTCACATAGACTTGCATTCCTAACAAGTTCACCATTTTTGCATTCCTAATATGAAGAATTCAAACAAACCTTTAAACCACTTACCCTTAAACATCTACCAAACAAGATTCCTACTTTTTTTTTTTTTTTTTTTGAAAGATTTCTTGCTTTTTGTCAGGCAGTGGTGGTGAATGCCTTTAATCCCAGCACTGGGGAGGCAGAGGCAGACAGATCTCTGAGTTCGATGCCAGCCTGGTCAACAGAGTTCCAGGACAGCCTGGTCAACAGAGTTCCAGGACAGCCAGAGCTGTTACAACAGAGAAACTCTGTCTCAAACAACAACAATAACAAAAGGATTTCTTACTTTTCAAACAACCTAATTCTCAGAGGAGGAAAGAAGTACTCTGAATAAGTGTCTCCTTTAAGTTACCTAGCTCCTATTTTGTTCCTTAAAGATAATTTACTAAAAAACATAACCACTCCTCTCTCTTTTAGAGCTGAGAAAAAGCCATAAATACTAAATGAATAACCATACAAACTGTACATCATTTTACAATTCTATGTACAATAGATAAAATTAAAACATTTCAAAGATTATTAAATTAAAACTCTGGTAAACAAACCAGAATACTTAAGAGTCAAAAGAGTTCACATTATGTTTTCTTAACAACTGAAAAAAGTTTCTATTGCGATCACATTTTTTCTATTACTGTCTTACTTTATACATTAAAAAGGTGGCACCTATGCATAAACTGATAAAAAACTAATTTGTAGGATTCTGTAATTTTTATTAAAGTACTTAAAAAAATAATAATATCCACACTGGTCACAGTAGAACAGTTCAAGTGAATTTTCCTGAGGCTGCATTCTAAGTACATCTGACCCAGAAAGTATTTTTAGCAAATGTGTTCAATAGATGCTGGTGTTATGCCTAGCCTAAATTAGAAATTAGTGTCATAAATTTAAAGCAACAATGTTACTAGGGACATTTTAAAGATACTCAATTAGGACACGGTGGGGGAGGAGGAAACAGGACTTGACATAATTTACCGCCCCCCCCAGGAGCTAAGCTATTAGAAGCCTGGAGTAAGTCACATCTGTTACTACTTTTGAGGAATTTGATTCTCTACCTTAACAAACTTTAACCAACTCAATAGTAAGAAAAACTATAATGCAGTGATGCTTCCTTGTGTTTAGAAACAGTCTATATTGTCATGTACACATGAATACACACACACACACACACACATGACTATGTTGATCTTATAAATCAGACAAGATCACAATATTATGGGGCCATCCATGCACATGGTCAATACAAAATATGAACAAAGATAAGAACACCATAGAAAATGTGAAAAGACACAAAAATAGCTTTTGTGGTAATTGGAGCAGAAATATATTCTGAAAACAACAGCAAAAAAAAAAAAAAAAAATGGTGGTGTCCACAAGATGACTGATCTCAGATTATGAGTGAAAAAAAGTAGTTCTATATTAACTCATAAGCTTTTCCTTTCAAACCGACTTTTTTTTTAAAGAACATCGAATTTGTGTCCTCAAATTCGAGATTTACATAATTCATCTAGCTATAGTCTATTAAGCATACTGGATAACTATTTAAGGTAGCCCCCTCCCCTTCTGGACAACCTGTTTCCCCTCTGACACACAACGTTCACAAACGCAGGATTTTCAAAAGGCTGCGACATTTACCGCCCCAGCCTCCTTTCTAGCCCAGCTGTCTTTCCGAGTCAGACACACCAGCTTTTTGTTTTTGTTTCTCCTCCACAGCCATGTTTTAAATGTGACCAATGAACTGCGCTATTTCATCTGGACCCAAGATCTGGTCACACACTCAATATTTCTTGAACTGCTCATTCCAAAAGTAGCTAGTAGATAATGACAGGTCCTCCTGGAACAAGCAGCTTTTAAAGCCCCACACATCGTCCTTGTACACACTGATGTCACTCTGTGATGCAAGGCCAGACATAAAGTCTCTAGCCTAAGTTTCGGGGAAACATTCATATGCATTATCAGTGAAATTGTAAGCTGTTCTATTATTGAAGTAACCCCAGCAGATGCATCCAGACAAGCATTTTAACTGCATCTCAACTTTCTTTAAAATAAAATAAAATAAAATAAAATAAAATAAAAATCCAGCTTCTCTTTAATCTCTGAATTGAATTGATTTTCAGAAGTCTGTCTTGGGACAATTCAGGTGACTAAGATCTTGTAAGAAGAGTTCCTGACCATAAAAAACAATCCATATGCTCCATTTTTCCTGTAAGTAACTATTAACAAACACTGCCACAGAAACAAAAATTTTAAAGCCAGAAAGCCAAAGATCACTGCGCTTACGTTTACAAAAAGCCACAAACACTGATCTGTCCTTTACTACAGACTCACACTGAATCTAAACATTATGAAGGCAGTGAAGATTCCAAAACATCATGAAAATCTAAGTGAAGGATTCGGATCTGTTCTACATCTCAACTTTTTGGGGGTCCAACTACAGAATTCCTAAAAACAAGTAGATACTGGCAGAGTCTCAAGACACTTTCAAGTTCAATGGGAGGGATCTTGTGCTCATGAAGCGTGCAAAAAAAATGCTTGTAAGAGTCAATTAACGAAACACTATTAGAACAAATGGAATACTGAAGATTCTAATCCAGCCTTACCTTGAGTTTAGGAACACTGGAACATTCCATCTCACATCTATTCCATCCCTTACACCGTGCGCTCATCCCTAGCAGAGATTTCAACTATAACCCCCAGGGAGATCCGAGTACCCGGACCCAATAAGAAAAGGGAAGTCGGTCGGGTAGCTCCGGCTACCTGGCTCTGCAAGCTTCAGGTGCGCGCCCACGGTCTGCAAAGGGGACCCAAGAAGGCCAAGCGAAGAACCTCCCCAAGCGCCCCTCTTACCTTCGTTATCACAGCCGCGTCCTCTCGGCTGGAGAAAAAAAAAAAAAAATCCAAATA